ACGAAACACAGTTATGAACAAGGTTGACTATGGGTGCCTCAAGCGGCAGGTCTCGTTGAATTCATCCTGTCCGCAGCGCCAAATGTAACGAGACTATTTGCCTGTAGTGCCAAATGTTAACGAGTTCTGCTCGACAACGCCAAATGTTACCGAGTCTAACCACTCATTCTACACAACATCGACCACAGTATAGATACTCGAAGATGCAGGTTCGCTATTGATCCTTTTATTACATGAATCAAAGAAATGCTTCACAATAATATAATGAATCAAAAGGAATGCTTCACAATAATAGTCTGAATCAACTGACCCCCAACAGTCCTCACTAGTCTTCACATAACTGAATGCACATGTCTATCGTCCTTCTTAACACAATACGGCTAACCCGTTCAATAACCAACTTGATACTGCCACACTGACTGACTGATCGAGAGAGAGAGACACACACAGCGAGCTCAGCCGTCGCCTTCCTATATATCCCCTTCGTATTCGTAATCGTATTCGGTTCTATCATAATCGTAATCGTAATCGTAATCGATTCTAATCGTTGCATCAGAATGTTAATTACGCCGCTTCTGTCGTACAGTCCGATTTAATAAGCCATCTGCATCCTGTCACATCAAAGTTGACAGACCGTATTGCGTTCTTATCGTATCGCTTCCCAAGATACTACGCCTTGGCTTTCTGATCGTTATCAGCCAACACCTGTGTTATTGCATCAGTCGTGTCAAAGTTGACAGCGCTGTACTGCGTTCTTATGTCTCTGGTAACTTCCCCTAGTTACATATATATATATATATATATATATATATATATATATATATATATATATATATATATATATATATATATATATATATATATATATATATATATATATATATATATATATATATATATAAACTATGCAGATCCATAAAGCCTATGTGTAAAGTTCGATTTCCAATGGTTTTATTTATAGAAGTAATATTAAAACGTAGTGGTTACAGGCTTAACTATTGTTATCAACATAATGATAAGTGACAGCGAGCTGTTAAAAATCCGATTGCATGTAACACATTGACATTTACTCGGCTCTTCTATAAAAAAAAAGGCGAACACAAAAGCAGTAAAGGGAAGTAACAAGATAAATTCCCACGTATCTGTTATAGGGCTTGTAAGTCTACGGTCTCAAAATCTACTAGCTGGCAAGTATAAGAACGAGAAGTTGTGACCTACTTACAAGCCCTATAGTATACAAGTATTTGTAAAGATATCTGGTTTAAGAACAACATAACGCGTAACTTAAAGTTCGGAAATAATTCCTCAATTTGTCAGGACCAATTATATTGTTTTAACAAAACTTCTCTACTTTCTACTAACCAAAGTTAATACAACCATACAACAACAGATACATTTCAACCGTTGTATATGGTGACGGACCAGCCGGCATATCACATATTATATGCCCTAGTGATATTTCCTAGGATTTATCTTTTCGCTATTCTACAAACGCTTTTGTTCATTTTTTCCCCTTATCTTATCAGTTGCACTCTCCCCCATATTAATGAAATATTTAACACTTTGCAAACTTTGCGTGCTATTAAGGCTGGGGAGGTTTGACAACTGACATGGCATATGACGTACATCCTCTTGAATAAAGGAACTGGTTGAAATGAGCATGCACTGTAGTGACAAAATAGGTGTATATATATATATATATATATGTATATATATATATATATATATATATATATATATATATATATATATATATATATATATATATAGGCGCATATATTACAAGCACTAGACTGAAATCCGCAAAGAAAGAGGAAAGTGGGTAGGATATATGGAAAAGGTAAGCTGACAGTGATGCAGAAGCAGCAGGAAAGAAGGGGGCCTTTCTTGGAGGAATTGCCTAGAACCGAGTACAATGGAGATATGAACAATTAGGCGTATTTTACGACATCAGATTATTTAACAATTTTGAAACTGAAAGCATTGGAAGTGACACTGACAGTTTCGTGGGCGTAAAGTTTCAGCTGTTGGCGACAGTGGACTTGTGTCGCTATCATTTACTGTTTAAACAACAAAAGGAAGGTCGGAGCTTCTAGCTAGAACAATGTTACCATATTGAAGACAATTGTGCCTGTAGCTCGGTCTTAGTTACGAGTATTAATACCGCGGAAAGTTAGTTTACAATTATCTGGAGCGCAGTAGGCCAATGGTAAGCTTACCAAGGTTAGGTCGGGTAATGGGTATCAAAGGAGGTGGGGGTGGGATGTACGTGGGTGGTTGTCTAGTATGTGCGTCCGGATTCGTATCAAACAATGGGTAGGATGAATAGAAACTGGGTAGGTTAAATAAAGAAACAAAATCCTACGGTAGGCAATAAAGAAAAAGTATTAATAGATGACTGATTTTCTTATTTACATGGTGTTTTTTTATAAAGTGTATGTTTTTACTGCTTCGAACTATTTGAAATTCATTTCAAAGATGTTGAATAGAAAAAAGAAAATTGAAAACTTCATTAACTGATTTCTTTACAAAGAAAACTAAAACTGAAAATTATAAAAATTGTACTATTGCTCTCTAAGTATATTACACTCAGAAAATTCCATAAATTCATTATCTTCAACTATTTCTTACGCAAATGTTATAGAAAAATTTACAAAGGAGTTCTAAGAGATGATTAAAGATTGTATATTTATTATAAGGTTTAAGACATCCTGACGAATTTTTAAAAATACCAACAAATGAACAAAGACATTTTAAGTTCTAGTATTCATGGTTACATAATATATAGGTCTATGTGGAACTGGTTGGCTTACTTCAAATTATATATGTCGCATTTGTTTGGTTTATTTTAAATGATGGTGGTGTAGGTAGACAGCTTGTGGGTACGTTATCGGGAATTTCATTCTCAATCTCGAAAAACAAGTTTCATGAGCGCCAGCAATTTGAGTATCATAAAATAGCAGATTTGACTTTCCCAAAATCATAAATCAGTTAATTTGTGAAAAAGAAATGACCTGTTAACATCAGCTTGAACTCATCAACAAATTCTAGAAAATCGGTTAAGATTAGCGTTCAATATAGAAACTATAATTATTTTTTTTTTTGCGGCCGACAAGGTCTTGCACTTAAGGCGAACAGGGTTTATGGAAAATTTCAGTTGCGTGTTAAAGAAAAACAAAAACTAAATGTTAAAATACTAGGTTTTATAGTTAGCCGCCAGTTTATATTGTCACCAACCGCCACAGCACACACACACACATATGGCTACCGACAAATTGTCACGCGACATGTAGATCTAGACTACCTTCAAAATGACACCCTCTCCCACAATTTAGATACAGGCAGAACATAATATCGGGAGCCATATTTTACGTTAGTCTTTTTATAGTAGACCTATAGTCGGGAGCAGGACGGGCTTTATTTGTCGGGGCGCTTTGTCTCTAGCTGTTTCGACGCATACACATTTCGTGTAAAATATGAAAATCATATACATTTTTGGATGTTTTACACGAAGTGATAAATCATAATGAGATGGAGTTAGTTTGTAGCCAAATAAAGCTTAAACAGTGTGTTCTTGTTTACTTTCTTGTGCGGAGCTAAATCGGTAAAATTTATTATCTGCTATTGTGTATGAGGTATTAACATTGTACCATTTTATGAAGTAGGTAGGCTATGCTGTGTTAAATCTATCCTAATATATAATTCCCCATGTGCGCACTTCTCTCTCTCTCTCTCTCTGTCTGTCCGCAAAATATTTTCGCCGGACATCACGTCAGAAACGGCAGCGATATATGGAGAACTTTATACGGACTTTTGTTGAAAATAATATGTTAGATGTTTTAAATGTATAACCACAATTTTATTTAAAGAAGAAAAATAAAAAATAAAGGCGTATTCGAATGTAGAGAAACAGTATTATTTATGCAACCGGAAAAGCATTAATACATGTGAAAAATAACGCATAAAAACTGTGACGTCACTATTGCTTATACATTAACTAATGACGTCATCTGCCGTGTTTAGAACAAAAAGAAATGAACTATTTCATTCAAATTTGATTTAGATCTACGTACACTATGAAATGTATACAATACAATTTTTCCGGCCTAAACTCATAAAATTTATTTTATTTATTTTGGATTCTAGATCTAGATATTCTAGATTCATCTATTCAAATAATACATTTCTATACTAAAGTATTTCAGGCCTTAATTACTTTATTGAAATCTTTGTTTATCTATGCAATTTGCTAATCTCTATAATATATAAAGCAAAGTTGCCGGGTGCCTTGGGGCGACAGAACACGGGGGCCGGTTGGCCGAAAAGTCTACGATGATGGGGTCAAAACTGACCTCGACTGACCGGCGCCTTATATGAGCTATAAATCGAAAAAAAATGTCCACGGAGGAACCTCTTCATAACTCCTGAGGTCGTAGACCGACCCTCGGGCGAATTAATTAAGCATTCAAATTCTCAATGTTTTCGAAAGCCTAAGCAAAGCTGGGCAGCATGCCTAGTATTTTAATATTAACTAGACCCTACGGGATTTTAAAAGAAAAAAACAACTTGTTACTAGATCTATATCTATATTAGGCTAGACCTTACGTATAATAATAGTTTGACTTTTATTCAGCAAAAAATCTGGTTAAGTTCTAAATAAAAAAAATTGGCCTGGATTCGATGGTTTAGGCGTCTTGCAAAAGCGGTAAATCAAGGTAGGCCTAAATAGATTTACTGTCCTGTGTAGAATGTACTGTCCATTACTACCATTAGCCACTAGGCCTAATAATTACTTTCAATACATTCATTTAATATTTAAATAAGTAGATCTATACCAAAGTTTGATCGATCGCAATTTTAATGTTTAGAATTTTAGGTAGGCCAGGTTAGCTCAGTCTCAGTTTAGAAAGAAATAAGATTATTAATTTGACAGCCAGTGTATGAAGTATGTGACTAGATCTAGATCTATGTGTTTTATCTTTACCGTGTACTTGTTTCTTGTCTGCTAGAAGAAGGTGGTGTCTAGTCTAGATCTACACACTTTTATATTTATAAGTAATCTAGCTAGATCTACAAAATAAAATTAACCAGTTTTCCTTCATTTAATTTGATAAGATTCTAGATTTAAGAATGTAAAAATGAACGTATTTGAACTTAAGATTCTAGAGCTAACCAACCTGTTAAGAAAGAACTAATCTAGATCTTATCTCAGATCTAGACTAGATCTAGATCTAGATACTAGATTTTAGTACTAGATCTACTGTTGTGTGTCTAGGTCTAGAATCTAGATCTAGTCTACTTTTATAGTACTTAATTAATAATTAAAGTCTACTACTATATTCTACTAGAGATCTAGATGTAGTATCTAGATCTAGAAGGAATGTAGATGTAGATCTAGTAACTACTAGTAGTACTAGAGCTAGTACTAGTGAAGTACTATTAGACTAGAACTATTCTAGATCTAACTAATCTAGAATAATCTAGATCTACTAGTATTTACTATTATCAATTATTAATAATTTTAAAGGCCTAGGCCTAATTATTATTATATTATTATTATGGTGAAAGTGTAGCAGCATACATTTATTATACATTTAGTTTATGAGCATTAGGTCCTAGTTAGATCTATAATCTATATAATACTAGGCCAACATAATCTACTGAATATCCTACACAAATTATTTTATTATAATTTTTTATTCTGAATGTTAAAGAACTTTATATTTTCTCAGAATCTCTTGCCATGGCATCACCTTCAGCTTGGTTCACTACTGAAATTCAACAAATGATGTTTGGGTTTGGTGACAGTAAGAGACCATTACAAGAGACAGCTGTATTAGTGGAGGAAATTGTACATCAGCAGATGGTTTCAATGATCCTGCAAGCAAATGAAGTGGCTATAACAAGAGGTGAAAAACAGATTACCATAGAAGATATCTTGTTTTTGCTGAGGAGGGATAAGGTGAAACTGAAAAGGCTTCTCAAATATTATGAAGTTCGGGATTTAAAATTCATTATTAAAAATTCATTAGCTGGAGATGAAATTAAAGCTGATTCAAATACTATACAGTCACAGGAAAAATTAGCTTTTGATAAAAAAACAATGGGCAAAAATAGGCAAATTTGTTATGAGTTTTTGTCATCAATTGATCAAACAGGAGAATTACTAGCCTTGTTTGAAGATTCAGAAGTTGACCCTGTAAAACATGAAAGAATGTTAAGAGCTGAGCTTCAGACACAAGGAATGGACACACAACAGTACATGGAGTTTTGCCAAGCTAGGCAAGCAAACTTCAGTCGTAAATACAACAAATCTCAGCGTTTTAAAGACTGGCTGCAATTTAACCTTAGCCCAGAGATCAACATTAACCCAGCTGTGGTAGAAATGTTCAGCTACCTGGCATTTGAAACAGTGGCCCAAATTGTAGACTTGGCTCTTCTTGTCAAGCAAGATATGAGATCAAAACCAAATGATCATTTGTCTAGAACAAGACCACCTTTGTGTGTTAACTATGCAGATCTCTATGCCAACAGCTTGTACAACAAACCAGAAACTGTTTTAACTGATCAGAGTCAACAAGATGTGAACAATCCTATGAAGCCAGGCACCAACATACCGTTAGCAACAGCCACACAGAAGATTAATAAGAAAAAGCGAAAAAAAAGTGACCCTCCTACATCAGTTGATCTCTCTTGGGACTGTACAATTCTGCCTTCAGATGTTAGAGAGGCCATGCGAAGGTACTACACAGACATTGGTCCTTTCACTTCACAGATGAAAATCAATCCACATTGCTCACCATGGTATAAAACCTTATGTTCTTGATTTAAAAATAATTTTTTTTAGCTATGTTAAATTGCTCAATTAACTCAAAAGTTCAACCTAGTCAAATGTTGATATATGCATACGTAATAATATATCAAAATGTAGATATTATTTTCCATTATTTATTATTTATCTTATTTAATTTGGCAGTTGTAGTTGTATGCCCATTTTTATTGATACAGTTATCTCAACATATTTTGTATAACTGTAATCACATTCAACTAATTTTTAGAAGACTGGAAAAAATAATATGGTCTAATCTCTTATTAAATTCTTCAACAGTGTTGTTTAAATCATTTATTTTATAAGACTGATGTATTGAAATGTAAAAACTGACCACTCCATGTACCGTAGCTTAAATATTTCTTTGTTAATGGTTTGTTTACATTTACCACCAGTACTTACTATATGTTAAATATATATAAGTAAATGTGTTCTGATTACGTTGTGTTTTATTTTTTCTAAGTAATAACTAATATTCACTATAGTATAATTCACTAAACATATGGTTTTGGTGTACTTATTTTGTTGTGCATTATTTTGATAAGTCTTTGAATATATTTAATTTTAAGTTGTAAGAAACATCTCCACAACAGCCTAAGCCACTTGCTAACTTTTAAGCCTATTTGAAATGAAATTCTAAGAAATTTCATTTGAACTTGTATCTTTGTAACAAGTGGCATACGTTAGTTTTTGCTTTAAACAGACAATTTAATTTTAAGTTTTAAAAACTTGAATTTTTTCAAAATCTGTGCTCATATGAATAATTAACCGCCAAATTTTGTCATGGAGAACTTACATTAACTAAATAATGCCTTCATTTAATAATTCAAGTCATTTCTTTAAATTTAAAGACAAGATTTGCCTTTTATATTGAAAATTGTTGCAAATATTACTCCCTTTTTAATAGACCTGAATTTTGGTCACATTTTTTAATGATTTCTATACACCAGTGGCTTAGCGAGGTCAGGTGTCACCCCCCCGAGACGTTGCGACCCTTCCCGGGGTCAAACTTTCGATTGATTTGCACCCCCCCCCCTCAAATTTTTCTCTATATATTTTGCTATTTTTTGCAATGGTGTCACTCGGTGCGGTACACACCCACGCCCCCCTCCTCGCTACGCCTCTGCTATACACTCTCTTGATTTTTGTTTTTGTCAATTCAAGATCTCATAATTTATAAGTGCTATTTTTTGTAGCAAGTTGTATAATAGCATGGTTAATTTGCAAAAAAAAAAAATTCAGCAATCAATTACTTTAAATTGGAATGTCAACTGTGATACATAGCATTGTTTATGCCATTTTTATTATCACCTGTGACAATGGCTAAGATTTGTGTAAAAAGTGTTTTTTTTTTTAAATTATCAGCAATATCACTGTAGACTTAATTATTAAGTATTGAAAATGAGATAATATAATCACTATTTTATAAGCCCTTACCTAATCTGTTGCTCAGCATGCACACATTTTAAACAAATAGGAAAAAAATACATAGGCTTATAGGCTGAGATAATGCTTTGTTGTTTGTTGGATAATTATTTTATTTAGTCTCTGAAGTAATAAGACTGTTGTGTTAAAAATTATCTAACTTAAAAAATTGATTTATTTTAATGATAATTTTATTGTTTTAAAAGTTGGAATACTAACAATTCATTAAGTAAGGTTTGGAGCCAGATTAGTAAATTTACATGCTCTAAATCAAAATAAATACTTTGGAAAATATCAAATGCAGTTACAGTTTGGTTGTTTTGATATTTGAATTTTTTATTTTCTTGTTTCAACTCCACAAGCTATTTATAAAGCTATTTATAAAGCTAATTTACAGAAATAAGTCAATGGAAAAAACTTGTTCCTAAAACAATTCAAACTTGTATTACAAGATATTTAGATATTTTATGTATGTGTAATACATAAAAAAAAATAGTTCAGGAAATTTTGGTATACTGATTTTGCATTATGCAGTTTCTAGTATAGAAAGAATTTATATAAACATAATGCCTACTTAAAATTAATAAAATGGTTCTATTTTGTTTAATTATGATTAATATGAAGGCTTATGTCTAATTAGTTTAAATATACAAGTAGGCTTTTATGAAAAATGACTGTTTTATTTTGAAATATAAGTAGAACTATATACTATATGGGATCTTTTTTAATAAGTGATGTGCAAGCACGTTTTTCCCAGTTTAAAAACCACAGATTTTAATTTATCTTAATTATTTGGTTTCATTGTCAGATCATGGTTTTTCGTTAACAACCTAATATATAAAAAACCCTGTGCGCACTTCTCTCTCTCTCTCTCTCTCGCCTAAGAGATCAGTATCTTCAACGATATATGGAGAACTTACAGATAAGGACTTTTGTTGAAAATAATATGTTGGATGGTTTTAAATGTATAATAATAAACTAAATTTTATTAAAAGAAAGAAATAGCAATATTCGAATGTAGAAACACATTTTTTAATTACGCAACAGAAAAAGTGTTTACTGTTTATAGTTGTGACAAGAATGTATTAAACAATGACATCACGATCCACATGTTTAAACTACGAAAAGTACATAGAACTACTAATGGATTCATCTTCATTTTAGAATATGAAGAAATGAACTATTTCATTCAAATTTGATTTAGAAATTTGAAATGTATACAATTTTCTTGGTCAAAAGTAATATAAATTTCTATTAATAAAAACAACATAAATACCATTGAACAGCTGGGTTTTTAGCGGAATCATTAAGTCTCTTAATCAGAGTGTGCAATCAATATGGTGTGTTGGTTGACTAATTAGTAATAATATAGGCCCTATAATTCGTTTTTACTTTCTCGTATATACGAAGTATAGAGAAAGTCTTGTAATCGTGCAAACAAAAAAAATCGAGATTTTTATAATCTCGACGTTTTACACCTCACTGATACGGAAAAACATAATTTTGCAATCTTGTCTGTGTCCGTGTGTAAACACGATAACTTGAGTACCGTTACAGCTAGGTTGATGAAATTTCATATATAAGTATTTTATCAAAATCGTAGATCCGTATCAACTTTTGAGCTATTTCCGATAACCGGAAGTGGTACTTTTCCTACTTTGAATTTTTCAAAAGCCTATAACTTGAGTACTATTTCAGATAGATAAATGAAATTTCACATGTAAGTAAAAGATCTAATTCTCTACCTTCTGTTAAATTTTGAGTCATTTCCGTTGACCGGAAGTAGTAATTTACGCTACTTCCGATTTCTCAAAAAACTAATGTAAATTTTAAAAGTACTAATAATATTGCGCACTATTATGCGCTTTTTTATTTGGCGTCCACTTAGTGTGCAATTAATTTGTCTACGAGATTTTATTCTATTTTTAAAACTTTAAGTATTTAAAATGGATTAAAATCCATGTCTATAGCCCCTGTTATTTTATATAAGAATATTCGAGAAAGTTTAGGGGAGATCGTTTATTTTTAAGAGGTATTGGTAGCGTATGGTACTTTAATTAAATGTGTCAGATTTTTAGCTATTTAGTTATTTCTTTGCTTTGTCACTAATATCGTTCAACGTGTGTGTAGTAAAGCACATTGCGTTTTGACCAATAACTATTTATAAAATATTTTTCTCAAACATGTAGGCCTATAACATTAAAATATATAGATCTAGGCCTATCGTGTAACCGGTACCGACGGCTAGTGTTACATAGATTGAAGGCCGTGGTTTAAGGAATAGGACCCATAACTGTAATAAATTATATTATTTGAATTTTGTATTTGTCAAAAAGTTTTATAAAAATGCACCTAGATCTAGATCTAGAATCAGATTTGAATCTAGATCTATCACAATCAGTATTAAAACTAAACGCAACTTTCGGTATTTTGAAATACCTAGTTTTTATAAACAAAACAAAAATGGCCTTGAAGAAGCTTAGCAGTGCGTCAATTTTAAACCTATTTATGAAGAAAGAAAGCTTTTACACTTTTCGCCTCTTAACTACATCACAAACATTGCAGAAAGATATCCACGGTGCATAGAGATATCTAACTGATTAGTCCTAGATCTAGATTCTAATCTAAACTAAATCTTCTCTAATCTAAAGTACATCTAGATCTAGATCTAGATCTATCTAATTAATAATTATCTAATAATAGAGTCCTTTCATATGACGTCACGTCCGTTCGTGACACCTACGCCCGCCGCCACAGTGGTGTACACAAGACGTAAACACAATCAGCTGTTCGCCAGCGCTGGACGTGTTGACCAGCGCTGGACGCGTTCACTGTATGTAAAGAACCGCACCCGCGGAAAAGCAAAAATACGTTAAAAAACTTGAACTCTTAGGAATTGAAGATCCTTATACTGTTATTGACAGTTTCGTATAAATAAATATGTGGACAAAATTTCTAAATAAAAATACTGTTAGTAATACTGTTTGCGTTTAGAGTTAAAGTAGCCGAATCTGATCAAATGCAGTTCTCGATACTTTGTTTCATGTAAGGACAGTAAAATAATAAACTTCATTTTAATTATAAAAGATAACTATTAATAAAACAAATATGCTCGACCTTCACAAATACTAATAGTAAAAGACAAAGTCAAAAGTAATAGGCTAATAAGAATAATAAGATCTAATCGTAGGCCTAATACCTGGCTCCGCTGGGTAGACATAGAATCTAGAATCTACTTCTTTACTTAAATTTAATTACTTTAGATCTACATTCGATTCAAAATACACCCATAATAAATCAAAAGTAGTCATAATAGGCCTAATAAAGCATTTAATTGTCTCTAAGATCTAAAATCTCGCTCTATTATCTAATCATTTTTTTAGCAAACGAAATTTTCTGAAATTGAAATAGATTATATGACTAGGATCTAGAATCTGCTACTTAAATTAAATTGTAAAAACTTTATACAAGCATGTAGTTGATATTATTGTAGTAGAAGGCTTTAATAAATTACTAAGACCTACCTACTTTGTTGTCTTTTTACAGCAATATGTATCTGATACTGGACTGAGTTTAATTAAATTCAAATTCATATCTAGTAATTGGTCTACTAAGTTTTTGTAGCCTAGTAGTACAATCTAGATCATACCAGCCAACAACAAATAACCACATTGTTATTATTTGGTTAATGATTAGGCTAAAATTTTTTTTTAAATCCACTGTTTATAAAAGAAACAAATCAAGCTAGAAACATTATAAGTGAGATGGTTTAGAATAATAACAATGGACCTAGTCTACAATTGATACAATTGCAGGTCTACATAGGGCCTACAGTCTAGTAGTTTACAGTAGGCACCGAGTGTGTAGCTAGTATACTAGTGTGTAGCTGTCCAGAGTTAAGATTCTTAATGCCTTAATGCTTTCCCCTGATAAGCCGTGTGTGCTATAAATGACATAACATGACACCGAGGTGAGAAGTGTTGAGGGGAGAGCAGTGGGACTTTCCCCTTTGTTCTCCCTGCTGGGCCCTGAGGGTCAAAATTATATAAGAAATACTATCTCTGTGGGGCTGGGTATCACGGAGGTGAGACATTTTCAGGGGAGGGCAGGGCAGACTCCTCTTTGGTTTTATTGTGGGCTAGATACAGGTGGGGGCAGCCATCATGAGGGTTGAACGTCAGTATTAATTTGTCTGATTACTTCCCTGCTGGATTATAAGGGTCTTAAATTGTATAACATGCTACCCAGATTGGTTATTACCCATGGATTATATTAGCCGTTGTAGTGTGGGTTTTGTAGGAGTTAAGTGGTCTCACGTTTGCTACAGTAGATAACCTCTAATATATTACAGCATTTGATCAGCTTCGTCTACTTAAACTCTAAACGCAAACGGTATTACTAACAGTATTTTTATTTAGAAATTTCGGCCACATATTTATATTATCCACGAAACTGTCAATAACTGTATAAGGATCTTCAATTCCTAAGAGTTCAAGTTTTTTAACATATTTTTCCTTTTCCGCCGTCGCGATTCTTTACATACGGTGAACACGTCCAGCGCTGGTGAACACGTCCAGCGCTGGTGAACAGCTGATTGTGTTTACGTCTGATGTACACCACTGTGGCGGCGGGCGTAGGTATCACGTGATTTAGGTCACGTGTTTGCAAGGACTCTATATCTATTATCTGTCTGTGACTGTCTATCTACTAGCTAGTATCTAGTATCTACTATTGCACTAGCAGCAGCAGGCTAGAGTCTTTCTGAGCTCTAGCCAGTGCAGCTCTATAACAGTGGAGTAGCACTCACAACTATTGATGAGGCCCTAGCTACTAGATTCTAGATCTAGCTAGAGTCAAGGGAGTTGCCGTGGGGGGGGGGGGGGGGGAGGATATTTTATTATTTTAAAATCTAAAATATTTAAAAATATGCACACCTTATTTTTATTATTTGTTTTGTTGACTAAACTAGATCTGTAGAGTAGTGCAGAGATAGAAGAGAAATTTTATATTGAGTATTGACTCGAGGTACTGTTGTTACGCCTTAGTCTTCTTAAGTTCTTAACTGTTACCCAGTTTTTGTTTTAGTATCTGTTAGGCAGTGTTATACCGCGTTGACACTTGCGACATGTATACTATACATGTCTAGAAAAAAAAACTTCGCTATAGGGCCTAAGATAATAGGGGAAAATACTCACTTATTGCGAAGTTTTTTTTCTAGACATGTATACATGTCGCAAGTGTAAACGCAGTATTAGGTACTTCTAATCTAATTTCTTAGAGCGACAATCTAGGGCCTAGATCTAGGCTTCAACTACAATCTAGAGATTATGTATTATAGAATCTAATAGGCCTAATGAATACAACACATCTTCAATATTTTAATTGGTTAAATAAATTGTAAATAGTCAACTTTCTCTTTAGTTTAACTAGAATTTGTAAGTACAAGGTGGAGGGGGGGGGGGGGGTGTTGGGGAAGGTGTTGTTCATTATTCATTATAATGTTGAAGGCTATCTGTAGGTCTAAATTTCACACTTTTTCATTTAACAAAGCAATGTTATAAATTATAAAAGGAATTTTAACATTTTTAAAATACTTTTTTAAACTATTGAATTTATCTTGGTAAAATAATATTTTAGGAAAGAAGTGCCTTTCCAAAAAATTTTTTTACAGTGTGGGAAATTGTGGTTTGGACTAAAGCATTTTTTTTTCATTGAAAATTAATAATTAACTGTAGATCTAAATCAAGAAGGTAGCTGTGATGTTTTGAAGCTAAGCAAATTTTCTTATTGGCAAAAACGATATCAAGACCAACATCAAGATTTAGGCTTTGATTGGTTTATCACCCCAGCTGATATTCTAGAACATATTTTAGACATTTTAAATCAGGTAATATTGTACACCCAGGGTAAAAACATTAAATGGGTCTGCTTTGATGTATAAATATTGAATTGTAGCATATAATGAAAAAGGTTTACTATAACTTCATATATATTTTTTTTCAAAGATAGACAGCCCTATTATTAAATTAATGTGACTAAAGTTTTTCCACAATTTAGTAAATAACTTTTTAAAATTTTAAGTTAACCTTGGTTATTCTGAAATAAAAAATAACAAACTTGTTATTAAAACGTAAGCTTCCAATTGAATTTTCATTTACAAATGCAAACATTCAGGACATGGTTGCTCAACTGTTCCAGCTAGATTCACTGTTGAACAATTTATTCAACTATTGTTAACTCTTTGCTGTTTGTATTGACAGGTTAAGAAAAAGCATGTCAACAAAAGCCTTCACTTGTTAGATTTGGGCTGTGGAACCTCTGATCTCTCTCTAAATGTATTAGCCCATACCAGCAGCCCTGTTTCAATGATACTGTTGGACTTTGTTAAAGAAGCTCTCCTGTACCAAAGAAAAAAATTCAGCAAAATTTCTCAGAAAGGGTCATCTGTGCAGTTTGTTTGTGCAGATATCTTAAACATTCCTTTCTGCAACAACTCTTTTGACCTGATTATTGATAAAGGTAGACACTTTTCACTTTGCTTTATAGAAATCTAAAACTTTTGCTTTTACATTCTTAATATACTTTTGTAGCTTTTATTTCAGATTTTTATGGCCTAAAAATTCTTATTCTTATGGATAGCGTTAATTTTGTAAATATAATTTTTGTTCTGCATAAAATTTATTTAAGTTCTGTCTTAAACATTTTACCAGGGACAATGGATGCATTGCTGAAGGATTCGACCAATGGTCAGTTTAAATGTGAAGTTATGATGTCTGAGGTGATGCGTGTGCTATCAAAATATGGAAGATACATGCAGATATCTGATGAAGACCCAGACTCAAGATTACTGTGCTTAGAAGAGATATGTCATAAAGCTTTTACCAGCAGTCACAAACCAAACAGTATTAGTCATGAGTTGGATCATAAAAAACTTACTTCTGATTCAAATTTAGAACTATGGGAAGAGAGGAACATTTTAAATAAAGTCACATATAAGGATGGGAATTCTTTACAAGAAAAAATTCAAAACCACACTGACTCTTCATCTTTTGATCCACATCATTGTCATAGTTTAGAAAGATCAGACATTACTTCATGGTCGTTTGAAGTTGTCAGTTCTCATTGTGGCAGGGAGTACTTTATCTACTGGTTTGACAAACTAAGATAACTAAGCAATACACCACTTTATTTATTTAGTTAAATATGATATTTTAATAATTGGTGCCTTATTTTGGTGAAAATCTAAAATAGGCATTTTTGGTAAGCTGACCTAACTAAACTAGCTTGCACATTACTGTTCTATTATTTCAAGTGAAAAAATGTTCAGAATCAATTTTGGAACAGGATAATGGCTTTCGTCATGATGCTATCCAACATTTTAAAAATAACTGTTCTGTTAATAGTTAGTTATTTAAATACCTGTGGTTAAATAGCGTAACTTGCCAAGTAGTCATTCATTTGAGGACTGGACAGAAAATAAAAACATTGTATTGTAGTTTTAAGCTGATGTAATTTTTGTGAAATGTAAGAATTATTAAATTTTTTAAACTGATTCATAATTAAATCAGTTTATGTTGTATATTTTCTGAAACCAATGTTCAATTATTAATCATAAAATAAACAAACTAAATGATAATTATTAAACCAGACATAAGAAGACATTAAGGTTAATTAAATTTGTTTTAATATCACATGTCTGAATATTTAAATAATTTAATGTCCAGACAAAACAGAAACCAATATTTCAAACAGTGAGAATATCGTTATTGCAAAATTTTCACTTCATTAGCACTAGCACATTCAGACAATCATCATACAGTTCATAACATGCATTGAAATAATGGATAGTACTGGATTTATTTACATTTTACTGAACTCAGTTATCAAGAATTACTCAAACACATATTAACTATCAAGAAAAGTTATATTTAAAAAACATTGAACAATTATTATCAAGTAATTTTCATAGTGTTCAATACATTAAATGCATACATTTTTTTCAATGAAAACCTACTGAGCAGAGGATATAGAGACAGAAAGTAATTTAAATTCTCCAGCCTCCAACTACTTTGCAGTATTGCAGACCCAGATAAAAGACAACATAATACTTGCACTGTTAAAACAAGGTGACGAGGTATGTTTTTATGACTCAGTGAAGCAATCTGATGATATTTTATCTTGAATTTTAAAAACAGCGCCAATTTATTTCAGAAACAGTCTTGATACACTTCAATTAACGTACCTCAAGACATCTGAAACTATTATCAGATGTTTTAAAACAAATAAAATTGAACAACAGTACATGTCAAAGAAATGATGTAAGACTGTCGGGTGTGTTGAAAAGTTGTCACTACAAATCTACAGGACAAGAAATTTGATTACACACTAAAACAGACAAAATTTTGATATACCAAGATAAAATTTTAGGTCTCAATTAAAACAGAGTTATCCAATAAATTATGATGTTACAAAGTTTGTGAAAAAACTTAAATACCAAATTAATAATACATAACTGTAGCTCACATATTTCATGACAATTACTATCATGTAAAAACAACTCAATTTCTCCCATTACCTACCAGCACAAAGCAATGTCAGCAGTAAAATACTAATTTCCAACATTACTAATGTATTTCCTCCCATTATAAACATTATTTTAAAAAAAAGGACGCAAAATAAAATGAAAACCCCAAATAAAAAGGAATGATAAAAAATTACATTTCTCTGGAATAAAACACATCAGACATGAGAGTTTCCAGACGATCAAAACGTCCTAGCACAAAAATGAGAGCTTTTATATCATAAAAATCAAACACAATAAACAAGGAAGTGAAAGGCACTGATGTCTAGGTCCATTGGAATTTAAAAAAAAAATAAGGTACAACTTAATCTGAAACACCCTCACTTGTCAATATTAAAATAAGCTAATCTCACTTACTCATTCAAACACAACAATTCTTAAAAGGACACACAATAACCTATACATCAAGCTTCACATTAAATGCAGATGTTATCTTCTCCGTAAAAAATAAACAACAGCAAAAACCATGGCAAAAAATGTTGCTAAATACAAGTCCCACTCAGGGCCAAAGTAAGCCTCAGGATCTATCAAACTCAGTATTCCAGATACACCTTCAAACTGAAACAAATAAGGAAATTGGTTCATTTTTACATTACCACTGATCAACATACATCTATCATACATATGTATTGTACTTTTATTTTGTTAGAAATTCTACAAAATGCCTAACAGGGAAAAGAGAAAACTGCAGAATAAGCTTGTTGGGCTGGGAGAGCACTCCATTGCTAACCCTAAAGTCTCCAGACACATGAGACTCATTTTAGCATATTGGAGAAAAAACTGAAATCTAGTGCCCCTGAGATATTACAAAGAAATTATAAAAAACTGGAGAAGAGACTCATTCTCCCCACAATATTTCTAACCTTTGTCACCTTTTGATTTGGGTTACATTGATTTTTAAGTTTAGGGTCAAATTGTAATCCACAAGGAGTTAATTTCCTACTGTAGTTTTTAGGGTGTAGGAAATGATGATGACCTACTCCTATTTTCATTGATGTTAGAAAATGAATGCTGTTTTAGAAGGCTACCTTTCAACCATATATACCCTAGAAGTTCTGCTTCTTTTTGATAAATTTATAGGATAAAACAACTTAATACATGTCTGTCTATAACAAAAATTCATCTTTGTATAAATGAATTTCAATAAAAGAAATGAATTATGAATTTACTTCTTTGTTAAAGACATCCATGCCATAGAAAAGCCCAAGCTTGAGTAATGCCAGAGTCACTGGAACATGGGCGTCAATACTGGTCTCTGATGCCATGTCATAAAAACGTTTTGCTAGATGGACATCCTGCAGAAACAAAACAAAAATCAACCTAAGATTAAAGTACAATAGGAAGAATATTTAGTCATTTACAGAAAGAAAAATCCAAATAAAAATAATAAGCTCTATTAGACAGCTGAAGCTTGAGTTAATCTCTGGCAACTGTATGAAGGGATTATTTGCCAGCACAATTTACTTTCTACAACTTTATACAAGATACCTAACAGAACTGGCAGAACTGAATGTTGAGCTTTTCAACTGAAAGTGTTGTAGTCAGAATGTGTAACTGTGATATTGATTAAAATTGATTAAAAATATCCATAAATGTATAGAGATCATATCAGTGACTGAAATTAAATCAGTTAGCTCACAGTACCTGCTTAAGCCCAAGCCCCTTCTCATGCATATATCCTAGATTAAACATAGCCTGTGCATTATGTTGCTGTTCTGATGCAAGCCTGTAATGAGAAGCAGCTGACTCATAATCAATGTCAGTACCCAGTCCATAGTAGTGATAGTCTCCCATTTTTAGTCTAGCGTGTGTTGAACCTAGATATTATAGAATGAAAAAAAAACCCATGATTTTTGCACAATATTTCTATGTAATTTGATCTAAAATATTTACTTTAATAAGTACTTTAATTTGAACAGCTTTTGTTGATTAATAAAGCTTTGAGTTTGAGTGAAATGCTTTTGAAATTATTATTTAAAAATAAATTACCTTGAGATGCAGCTCTTGAATACTGAAGCAATGCTCTTTGATACATTTCATGTCTGCTGAACTTGCTTGTAGCGCCTGTAACAGAATGTAGGTACATTACAAATAAAAAATTTAAAAACATTAGAAATTCAAAATAAAGGTTATAAATAGTCAGAAAACAAGTTTGTAAGATGTACTAAAATAGTTAAACAATAACAATGAGACATTTTTCATGGGACTTACCATTATCTAAAAGATATGCAACATTTGATTGTGCCACCTCATAGCCCAGCTCAGCTAAAAACATGTATTTGATCAGTGCGGTGTCCACGTTACCTTCATGGTACATACGATGAGCATCCATCATCATTTCTGACCACCTCCCTCTTTCAGCCACATTCTTAAACAGCTATTTTTATAATACAAAAGCAGAGTCTTTACTCAACATGAAATCTCTATGGCTATTTGTTATTTGAAATCCATCTGCTTAAACATGTATAATTTACATTTTTATTTAAGTTGAACAGTAAAAGCCATAAAATCAAATAAAAATTGTATATTCTACAATAAAACTTTACAGCAGCTTTAAATTACACATTTTCCTAATTGTTTAGTCTAAACCTATACAGTTTCCTACATAAATTGCTAAAGTGCAACCAACAGTAAAATTTAACAACAGAATACCTCAACAGCTGTGTGACAGTTTCTAAGAACACCAGTGCCAGTGGCATGCATTTGGGCCAGATTGTAAAATGCCAGGACATGGCCATTCTGTGATGCCATTGTAAAGTACTTGACAGCCATTTTATAATCCTTGCGGACACCAATGCCACCTGCGAGAATTATGAAAATGAGTACAAAAAATAATTAACTTTGATAAAAGATATTTACAAATAAAAAAAGAACTAGCTAAATATGAGCCATCGTATTATTTAAATGTCCGCTCCTTATTTTAAAGTATTTGGTTGCAGTGATACCCCGCAATACTAGCATAAAAATAACTTGTGCATTGTTACTCACTGAAGTACATAATTCCTAACTGCAGTTGGCCATCGACGGATCCTTGATCAGACGCTAAAGAGAAATAGCGAAATGCTTTGTTTGTGTCTTTTTCAACTCCGAGTCCATGCAAGTACATCATCCCTAAACCAGCTTGCCCTATGTGGTTGTTCTTTAAAATATATAGAATTCAGTCTATAAAAAGGATTTAGACATCATGTGCATTTCAACGAATACAACGATCATTTAATTAATTAACTATTATCAGCTAAAATAACTAAACAAACCTTGTCAGCTGATTTTTTGAAGTATTCGAATGCTGTGTGGTTACTTTGCTTAACAACTGGACTACCTTCTGAATGCATCTGTTTAAGTACAACAAAAATTTAGAGAATGATATCTTTAAAAAAGGAAAACAACAAATGAGTAAATGAACTAAAGGTTTAATATCTTTAAAACAAACCTTTCCCAAATATCCAAGAGCATGTCCGCTACCAGATTCTGCAGCAGTAGAGAAATAGTGGTAAGCTTGCTATGAAAACAGAAATAACCTGTTATTACTTAATATTACGGTTGGGGTGATAAATATAAAGCAAGACAAAAGATAAATGATGCATTGCCTTCTAACACAATATCAAGAACAAACAAAAGTTTTAAATTATTATTTATGTACTATAAATGACTTACATCATGATTAATCTGCACACCTTTGCCACCTTGGTAGTAAAGTGTACCTAGGACAACCTAACCAGAAGTGTAAAAAATGTAAATTAAGTGAATGGCTTAATTTAGTATAGAGATAATATTTTTAATCTGACAAATTATGTGGGGATGATATATGTATAATATCTATAAACACATTTCCAGGCTTTGTGTAATTTAATTTAGATCCTCATGCAGACTGTTCAGCACATGACCTACAATTCTTTTATAATTGTCAGGTCACATGGAAAAAGGCAAGAACATTAATTATACAAGCCACTTGCAAAACACAATCAATATACCTTAAAACATCCACACCTCAAGAGATATGTCACAAGAAAGCCAGAGAAGTGGTGTATATCATATAACACTAGTCCACACAGACAGTTCAGCCTCGACTGAACACACACACCTACTCACTTCCCAGGGGAGTCTACTCTCCCTACTACACACTACTTTCATTAAGTCAAATATCGTCACAAGACAATGCAAGTAAGTACTGACCTGGGCCTGTTGGTCACCCTTATCAGCCAAGAAGTGATAGTACTGTAAGAGATCATCATCAAGCAAAGGGCTGTTATTACTGCCTTGAACCTCTGCCTCTTCTTGAAGTCTAATTCTCTGCACCACAGGACCCCCTGCTAAAGTGACAGCATCAGCAACTGCAAATAGACAAAGTAGAATTTCTTCACACAAGCAAATGAAGTGATTATAAAAGTTTATAAACATGGTAAAGGCAATGTTAAAAAATTTAAAACAATCCAATCATCAAGAAATAATACTGTTGCTAAGTAGAAATACAATGTGTTGGTGCATAGTGAATGAAACTGTGACTGAAACATCACCTATTTTTTAAATTTAGTTAAAGGTAGATATTAGTAAAAGGAGAAATTGTTACGAAATAAATTTTAGATGAGATTTATGGCACTACATTTTCAAAATAGAAAATTAACCAAAATTACAAACCATATCTATAATGAGTTTGAGCTACTTTCCCAGTACGGCAGGTTTATTTACAAAAGCCTAACTGATCACTCATTTAATAAGAAATAAATAAATAAACATGCTTAAATACATGCTTAGAAAGACTTATTAATATTATTATGATGCTTTTGAGCCATTAAAAATATAAAATGCTCAAATTGCAACAAAAAATACAACAACAGATAGCTTAAATCTTACCTTTAGCAGCAACCTTTCTATAATAGGTTAAAGCAGTTTCACATTTAGATTCAACACCAATGCCAGCATAGTAGCGGTAACCCTAAATAAATGAATTTTATGTGAAGGATTGTCTTAATTCTGAAGAGAAATTCTAAATGACTATAGTGCAGAGAAAAAATGCATATACTAACTAGCTGCCTTAAAAAATTGAAACTATTATCAGTTTGATGAATAAATGGAAAATAATGTTTCAGTAATTCTTACACATTGTACTTAAAACAGATTATACTTTTTCAGGTCAGCTGTAAACTGGATTTCATTGCTACTTATCAAAGATGTGATGAGAAAAATACTTAACAGCGATGTGGACTGTTAAAAAACAACAAATTCATCTTACCAATGCCATCTGTGCCAATGGATCCCCACCCAAGGCTCCAAAAGTAGAAAAAATAAGTGCCTGTGGTAAATTTTAATTGAATGTTTTATCTACATTTCTAAAAAGTTCAGCATAATATACAAAAACCTATCATTAATCTTTAGTTTTCTTATACAAAAACCTATCATTAATCTTTAGTTTTCTTACCTTGGCTTGACTGGAGTTAAAGAAGAAGCCAGCACTATACATGAAAGAAAGACCCTAGGGTAAAAAAAAAACATTTTTTAGAAGTTTAAATATTTTCACCCTTCGATTACTGATTCTAAAAAATGATAGTTTAAAAAATTGTAACCTTATGTCTTTTGAAATAATTGATGGAACTCCAAAAATAAAAATTTAAAATCAGTTTTTACTACCATTTGTGCCTTGGGGGACCCTTTCTCTGCCAATTCAACAAATAGCTCAGATGCTTTTGTTACATTCTGTGGTAAATAGTCACCAAAAAGGTAGCCAAATGCCACATATTCTTTAGCTTTCTTGTGGTCAAGCTCTGCAGCTTGCAGAAAGTACAAGAATGCCCTGAGAAAAATTTGAAGAAATTATTCAAAATGTATGACAAATTTGCTGCATTTACAATGTGAAAAAAAACAACAATAAAAAGTTTAAAATTTGAAATAACTTTAAACTATTAAATGAATAACTACTTACTCTTTGTATTCCTTGTAGTAAGTTGCATTGATTAATTTTTCTCCAGATTGAAACAATTTATCACCTAAAATATGTAAATTAAATGCATTAGAATTTCATTTTAAACCAAACAAAAATCACACTATAGTAAATCTTACCACTTAATCATAATGCATAGGCAATCATTTTATTATATTCAATAAAAAATGTTAACAGGATCTCCATACAAAATGCATTCAAATTAATTGCAAACAAAAATTCAATAATTTAGACTTAAGGGTTGACATAGTGAATATTTAAACACTGAAGCAATGGATTCAGCAAAACATATTATGGTCAGTTGAATTTGAAATGGGTATTTAGAAACATTCATATAATACAAAATAATTGTATTTACTGATATAGAAACCTCACAAAACCAGAAAAAAAAAAGAAACATAATGAAAAAAAGTAATTTAAAAAAAAATTTGGCATTACATACTTAACATAAAATATTGATATTACCTTCAATCTCTTCAGGTGTGGGCTCAGTTTCCTCTTCCTCTGTCTGGTCTTCGTCCAATATTGGAGGGGTCACTAATGTATTTGGCAACTGCGGCAACTGACCTTGATGCTGATTGGCTGCATTTCTCATCTCTTCATCTTTATCAGGCTCTCTTCCAAATGGGAACTCGTCAACTTTTTCTTGTGGCTCTTCCTTTGCTGAATGAGCACCTTCTTGTGATTTTAGTTCTCTAAAGTCTATAACAGGGGCTTGGACTTCAACAGTAATACCATTTTGATCTGAATTGTCTTTGGAATCATGATAAGATGAACCAGATGGATTGTTCTGTTGCTTATAAGCAGTGTCTACAGGATGACTGGATGGCTGGTTGATTGATTGCTCTTTATGCTCAGCTGCATGTGTTTCTTTCTGTGAGTGTATCTCATCTGTGACACCCTGTCTCTGCTGTTGCTGATTTTGACCGTTTGATGTCTCTGGTTCTGTAAGTTTTTCATTAGCACCATTAGGTACACCTGAGATGTATTAAAGATTGTATACAAAAAAAAAACAAGCAACTGATCTTATATTTCAAAAACCAATAATAAAGTACTTACCCTGAGTGTTTCCACCTGTAAAACTATATATACATATTAATAGTATTATGCCTGCTTTCTCAATTTGTAGTTTTTCAATATTTTTCATGATGACTTAGCGCTTCTCTGCTTACATAAGGTGTACTTTTATTTTTTATAAATCTGAAAATAAAATAAAAATCAACAGTAAATAATGAAAATGTTGAATAAAAAGAGTATAAATTATAAAAAATGTGTACTTAATAAAATGTTATCAATCCATTTTGTAGGTTTATCAAAAGAATCTATTTAAAAAATGTTTACAATAACAGATTGTGTGGCTTTGAGCAACAACCAATACATTTAATAACAATAACCATATTGATTAATTGATCGAGTTAATAAACTTAGAAAATCTATCATTTAGTAGCCTGACTTCAACCAACAGGTGAAGTTATATTACATAATGTTGAACTATATGAATATGATGGGTCCTGGCTACAGGGTCCTATATATCATATATACATCCTTGTCTACAAATAGTGTGATACAGCTCATACTATAATATTTAGATCTTTATGGTCCAAAACAGCATCAGTCTATTTAATACTTTTCCTAATCCTTATTCCTTTGTTTTACTTGTTTTTATTTTAATCGACATCATGAAAATTCTAGCCTAGCATCTGACTTCTACTACTAGTATTAGCAGTAAAATTATGTGTTTAAAAAATTATTTAGTATTGATAGGTATTGATATATTTAGCCATTGATTTAGGTTTATTATTCATTTATCTATTATAATATTTGACACAAATATATCACAATATACTTCTATTAAAGCATTGAAAATGAGGTAACTTTCGGACATTACTAGCCGCAGGCGATTTTACGTAGGCCTACCTAAAACAGGCTAAAACAATAGATTACCAAATATTCATTCTAATTCTAGACAATTACAATACTAATGTAAATTATACTAAATTCTAATAGTAAATCTAGATGTTTAAATCTAGATTCTAGATCTCAGTTCTGGGAATCTTATTTGAAAATAATTTCTGACTCTATTTTCTGACATTTCTAGATCTAGTAGTAGTCTACTAGATTTCTAGATCTACTCTCTACAACAATCTACAAGTACAAGAGAGAGACAACTACACAAGAGTAAGAAAGAGTAAGACTAAGACAGTAAGACAGATGAAGATGTGCTTTGTGCAATACGCAGCAATAGGCCCTATTTATTTTTATTTATGCGATAACTGTGCTAATTCACAATTCTACATAGTTTCCAGTTATTTAAATACTTCGTGCTTACATATTAGGCATTAGCTGGCTTAGGAAAGATGCATCTATCAACTAGATCTAATCTAGATCTTAGGTAGAGTAAGAGAGATGTTGTTCTTTTCTTTAGTTAGATTCTACAAAATGTAACCTACGACATCGGTTTACATTGTTGTTACCAGTCGACTTTTCATTGGCTTAACTATAACACTTCCGGAGCATATAACACAAGAGCATCTTAACTATGGTTCATACCCATATTATTCTGGTACATAGTTCTAACTGGACTACCTGCCTATTAAAGGAAGCATAGACATGCTGATTTATTTGCCTATTGTTTAAATTTTAAATAATGTGAAAAATAGAATTTAATACGATCAAAAATAAAATATTTATTGAAAAGTAGTAATTTGTAGTTTATTTTGGTGGTATTATTCTTGTAAACTAGGGTTTAAACAGGGACAGTGTTATTAGAATGTAGACACATTTTTAATCTAAATTAAATTATTTTTATTAAAGTTTCAAATCTAAGACACATGTAGATCTAGGCCTATTAAAAAAAAACAACACCCGCAACAATGTCTGATATGACATTTCGCGCTGTCGTGTAGAAATCGATCGTCGCGACTCCTGTAGTCTTCCGCATCGCGGTGTTGTTTTGGCATTGTCGCGTAGCTAGGACTAAGCTCAACGTCACACAATGTCCAGCCAACGTGCGCTGTCGTGCTCGGAGGGCTGAGAAACCAGGCTTCCTGTCTGTCTTCGCTGGCGTTCCTCGGAGAATCAGCTCGATATGACCTCAAATTTCATTACGGAAATATTTATTATCAAATAGTTTTTTTTTCGTTTTAAATAGTTTTTTTTTTCGTTTTCGAAGAATTGTCTGTGGATTTCTGGACATAGATTCCCATTTTGTTAATGTGAATTCTAATTATTTTTAGACAAAGCTTCGGCGAATAAAAATACGGTAAATAATGCAAATTGTATGCCATGTTTAAAGTCTGAGCAAAAAATTATTATCTGTTTCATTGTGATTAAGCCCATTTGTTATTTAAAAAAAATATATTTGCATTCTTTGCATTAGCCTACTGGGTAAACAAAATTTCATTAACAATCGTGGATTGTGGATAAAATCAACATTCTTTGAAAGAAAGTGAATCTTTTTAAAGCATAATTTTGTAATACATATAGCGCCTAAGTTATTGTTGTATACCATATTTTAATAAAAGAAAACGTGTAGGCCTGTTGATTTTTGCACGTGCTTTTGAATATTTGTGTTTATGAACTTCAGGTTTCAATAAATATTTTTAAGTGAAACCATTTAACTATTGAATGAGCGGCTAAGTTAATTTAAATCCAATTATTTTTTTTAAATTTTAAAACTAAACATTTAAAAGTATTAAACTTCAAGGACATCACAAAATAATAAAAATAACATAAAGAGGCGACAGCCTTCATAACTAATAAACGGTCGTCTCTATATGACGGCATACACCAAAAGGAATAAGTGATTTTTAGGCATTGGCGATGATGTGTAACTAAGGACGCTGAAAGGCTGTTGGTGTTAGTGGTGAATACAGCGATGTACGTATTAGAGTTAATGTTAATTAATAACCAGTTAATTTTCTTTACCAGGCAAACTTCATTTTAAAAAATAATGGTTTAACTATATTAACTGCTTTTCTTCTTCAAAAATACTGTTTAAATGATACTGAATATTCGTCACTTTAAAATTTATGATTTCTAAAAAGTCCGTTAGTGTTTTGTAAAATAAATTAAGATTTGGTTTACAAAGTTATTATACTTTAACACCCCCCCCCCCCCCCCCACCGGTCAACTCACATAATTTTATAAATTGATTCACCAACTTCTGATGAACGGACGAATGTCAGCAATTATTTGTACGTTTCAACGCCGAAGAGTTCTCATATGATAAGCGCAGAGAGAAATTTACATTTCAAAATCAACAAAAAACTGAAACAACGCATCTCAAAAGCAAAATGCCCGTTACAGGTAAGTCAGAAAAAAAGCTATAAAAAACTTCCTTTTTACTCTTAAATTGATGTCAGTAATTATGATTACTTATTGTTTTTTGTGGGTTTTTTTTTATGTTAAGCGGTATCATAAGCAACCTTGGACTGAGGGAAGGAAGTATATATATATATATATATATATATATATATATATATATATATATATATATATATATATATATATATATATATATATATAAGCACGATTGTGTGCTCTTGAGTAGTTGACTACTTGTGGGAATACTTCATTGTTTTTGGGGTTTACTGAAACATTCCATTGCTCGGGGGTTCACTTGATGAAAATCGCATATAAAAAAAATGTCCGTCTGTGTTTTTTGTCTGGCAAGGGCGGTCGATGATATCATCAAATGAAAACCATGCTGTTGGCACTCCCATTGAATCAGCATTAAATTCCCACCAGAATACCCTTATGAATAATTTAAAAGCGTTTATAAAACAATGTCTGAAGATTAAAAATAATATGCAGCTGCGTCCCCTGGCGGAGAGAAAAATAATGATTTAGCTCCAACGATTTTTTGCGTGAGGTAATAACAGTAGGGCTATTACAAACAAATAAAACTGCGCCAAATGCTTATTTTGTTTATTATTTTAAATAGGATAATAAACTACTGCTTGTATTTTAGAAAAAGAGGCTGCGGAAATAAAAATAAAACCTTATTTTAATTTTACTGCATACAGCAAAAAAACAAAAATATACAACAAGCGTTTTTTGTGTGTGCTGAATTAGCAAAATGCTTTCCTGTATGTCTATGTTTATGTGTTAATGTACAGCTCACAACGTCAGCGATGGAATTAACTCCCTTTTAATGGATGTTTTTATTTTGGCGTGAAATAAGAAGCCGCATTCACTTGAGTAGATGACGTCAAACCACCCGGTAACAAAAAGAACCGTAACTCCAATTAATGAACCCGTCTTGTTGGATAACAATTTTAATTTTTTTTTTAAACCAATGGAAGATACATATTAAAACAACTTAACATTAAATGATAAACATTCTTGAACGTTAGAAAATAAGGCGATTTGCTTTGTTTCCTATAGCTGCAAGTTGATACTAGGTAAAATAACCTTTCTTTCAATTTTTTGTTAAATAGCGACAATTGAGAATAGAGATCTATGGCTATAGGATCGAAACAGTGTTTCTTTCAGGCGGAGCCCCCCCCCCCCCCCCCGAACGAAGTGGAATTTATATAGAAAATATATACTTTTAATCGTGCCCGCCCCACCTGGAAATTTTAGTCGGACCCCCGCCCACCCCCCGACAATTTCAAGTCCCCCCTCCCCCCTGGCGAAAAAATTCTAGAAGGAACACTGATTCGAAACCATCACCATTTTTTGCCATTTCAATTAGTACCGGAAGTTTTGCGTTTAAATATTGCAATTAGGGGACCTACTCATTCAAACTACGATTTTAAATAAGTCTGAAACCAGTTAGCCACTGGACTGTGTTTCTTTCACACATCTCTCCTTCGAAAGGGCGGGGGGGGGGGGGGGGTGGAGTAATACTATCCGCGGAGCACGTCCACTGCCCCAAGGACACAAATAGAAATATTTTTTTAAAATTTATATAGAAATAAATACTTTATACCACCCCTCCCCCCTCGAGTTCTCGGGAAAAATGTCTGGGGAAAAAAAACCTGCTGCAGACGAGTTCATGCTGGGGTTCGTGAACATTCTATAATACGTTGTTAAGTCTGTGATATGAGAGGTTGGTAACCATGGAGAACTTTGACATAATAATATACGTTTTGTTTGCATTAATTCCATTTTTTTTTTCGAACATTGTTACCTATAGTTGATGAATTTTCCTAAGCTAGCGGTTCTCAACCTTGATTCGATCGAACCCCAGGGGTTCGGTGGAGGTCAAGGACTCAAGACACACACCCGACTCATATGATTCACTATCGGATTGTGTCGATGCAGACGATAGAACTATTAAGAAGTGTTCGATGAATGCTAATTTGAAAGTGTTAGGGTTCGATACCTCCAAAATGGTTAAGAACCGCTGTTCTAAGCAACTTTTTAATGTTCCGTGTTTCGTGAGTGCAGAAGGGTGGGGTGTGGGCACAATAGCAGAATATCTAAACATTTTTCTATACCGTCTAGTTCGAAAATGTCGAGGAAAAAGGCGTATAATTTGACACACATAAAAAACAACTAGAACACAACAAACATCTTAATAAATAAACGTTTTGTTCCGGTAGTTAGCCGAACCCAGCTTTGTTCTCGTATGGTCGGCTCCACTCAGACTTGGGGTAAAGTTTTGTTGTTTACCGGCGTGTAATAGAAAAGTCAATAGAGCCGGGGGCGTAGTGTTTATAGTGTTTAAGCATGGATCAATCTATAAGTTAATAAGTCGCTTGCGCTTGTGTTATTGGAGGCGGTTAGACTTGTATTGATTTATTTTACACCCGTTATAGACATGTCAATTAGTGTAAACATGTAACACAGGTATCCAATAAAAATAACATATATTTAAGGCTATAACGAAGAAATAAAAGTTATTGTTTGAGTAAAGCCTATGAGAGCAAGGTGAAATAATATTTTTTTTTTACCCACATGAATCCAGGTTCAAAACTCATTAAAGATATTTTAGGATTTATGAACTAGTTTAGTTATTCTGTCAACTTTTCACGGTTAGACACTCACACTGGCAACCTTGTTAATGTATTTCGTACTTCGTCTGAGAGGACAGATTGGCAGATGAACACCTTACCTTTGAAACTCCATAGTTGTAGAACCATTTCTGTTGTAGATCCAGAGTTTCTTCCAGGCATCTCTTCGGGGACGGGGGACGGGGACGGAGCCTCCCCCCCCCCCGACGAAAGTCTACCCCCCGCCCCCCCCCCCCCCCCGAACGAAATGGAATTACTATAGAAAATAAGAAAATATATACTTTTAACAGTGGCCGCCCTCCCCCCGGAAATTTTAGTCAGTCCCCCCCCCTCCTTCCCGAAAATTTCAAGTGCCCCCCCCCCCCCCCCCCCCGGAGGAAAAAGTCTGGAAGAAACACTGTGTAGATCAACCCCTAAGTTTAGGATTCAGCTAGCCTGTTGTAGATCAATCCCTAAGTTTAGGTTCCAGCTAGCCTGTTGTAGATCAATCCCTAAGTTTAGGATTCAGCTAGCCTGTTGTAGATCAATCCCTAAGTTTAGAATTCAGCTAGCCTGTTGTAGATCAGTCCCTAAGTTTAGAATTCAGCTAGCCTGTTGTAGATCAATCCCTAAGTTTAGGATTCAGCTAGCCTGTTGTAGATCAATCCCTAAGTTTAGGATCCAGCTAGCCTGTTGTAGATCAATCCCTAAGTTTAGGATTCAGCTAGCCTGTTGTAGATCAATCCCTAAGTTTAGGATTCAGCAAGCCTGTTCTAGATCAATCCCCAAGTATAGGATTCAGCTAGCCTATTCTAGATCAATCCCCAAGTTTAGGATTCAGCTAGCGTGTTCTAGATCAATCCCCAAGTTTAGGATTCAGCTAGCCTGTTGTAGATCAATCCCTAAGTTTAGGATTCATCCAGCCAGTTTTAGATCAATCCCTTAGTTTAGGATTCAGCAAGCTTGTTGTAGATCAATCCCTTAGTTTAGGATTCAACACGCCTGTTGTAGATCAATCCCTTAGTTTAGGATTCAACACGCCTGTTGTAGATCAATCCCTTAGTTTAGGATTCAACACGCCTGTTGTAGATCAATCCCTTAGTTTAGGATTCAACACGCCTGTTGTAGACCAATCCCTAAGCTTAGGATTCACCAAGCTTGTTGTAGATCAATCCCTTTGTTTACCTTACAAAGGAGGAAGGCGAAATAGTGGGGACACCATCAGACTACCAGAACAGACAAAAGGGGGAAAAGTCTGGGAGAAAGAGAGGTCGTCGATAAGATAATTAAAAAGAAGAACGACATCAAAGCTAGAGTGCGCTTTGATCTACCCGAGTTACGGCCGCTTGATACACAATTTAAACGCGACTTTATTCAAAGATAATCGATGTGATTTCTTTGAAAGTTCTTTTGTTAAATTAGTCACTCTGTTCTTGCAAACTAACAACTACTTTTGAGCAGTGTTTCTTCCAGACTTTTTTTCTCCGCTGGGGCACTAGAAATTTGCGGAGAAAGGGGGGGGAGGTGGATTAACATTTCCGGGTGGGGGGTGGATTAACATTTCCGGGTGGGGGTGGATTAACATTTCCGGGTGGGGGGGGGGGGGACTGTTAAAAGTATATATTTTCTATTTAAATTCCACTTTGTTGGGGGGGGGGGGGCGGTAGACTTTTTTCGTGACGCCATGTACCGATATGAGTCTACCGTATTGACACACTAACATTATACCCGGCTTCCGTCCAACCTAACAGCTTCCAAGTTTGAGGGTTATAACTTATCATCCATTTCTACTTTACCTACCTCCACGATACCTCCCACACCTCCACACCATTTTGTTCCGTCTTCGTCCATCTTTCCTAGCGACAGCACGCAAGCGCGCATGATCAAATGCTGTACTCCAGGGGTCTCCAAACTACGGCCCGCGGGCCGGATTGGGCCCGCGAGGTCATTTTATCCGGCCCGCGACGATCTTTTTGTCCACTGAATAAATGTTTGTTGGAGATGGCTGAGGAGCTTTGCACAGAAAATTAAAAACTATTTGAAAATGTAACTTTAGGTGCAAATACCATTACCTACCGTGTTGCAGACATAGGTGAAAACATCTTGACTCAAATAGAGAAAAATGCAAGCAAGCTTATCCATTTTTCATTTGCAATCGATGAGTCGCTGGGCAGCTGTTCCACCTCTCAACTTCGTGTGTTCATTAGGGGTGTGTGTGAAGACATGAACATAACCCAAGAGCTGGCTTCCCTACATAGAATGTATGACACTGTTACCGGAGAGTATCTTACCATAGATAGTTCAGAGACAAACACAAAATCGCAAGGTTTATCATATTTCACATCAGTGAGTTGGCTCATTTTGTGA